TATACTTCTTTTCATATTTCTCCACCAAAATGTATCTCGAAGGTCTCAATACATTTTTGTACCATCGGGATGTGCGGTGTACGGGGTGGAATGGGCCTCTTTCAATATCTCGTTTCTCAAGGTTTTGTCCTTAGGCACACAAATTCTCCCCTTAAACATCAGTGCCTGATCCGAAGCTATTCCAAAATCCTTTCTCTTATCAGTACCAATTTCATTCTTGATCTTCAACAAGAATGGGTCATTACCTTGTGTCTCTATAATTCGATCTCTAAGAATAGGTCGAATTATCAAAGCTGCTAGACGAGCAGTGACTTGTCCTGGTATGCGAACCACTTCGATCTGTAACTTTTCCAAGTCCTTGACTAAAAAAGTGGGCAGTGATGCCAACTGTCCCATTGATTTTATACTTAAGGCATCGACCACAATATTAGCCTTACCTGGATGGTAATGGATAGTGCAATCGTAATCATTCACCAATTCCAACCATCTTCTTTGTCACATATTCAATTCCTTACATGTTCATAAATATTTGAGACTCTTGTGATATGTGTAGATATCACACTTCCCTCCATACAAGTAGTGTCGCCATATCTTCAAGGCGTGTACTATCGCCGCAAGTTCTAAATCATGCGTCGGGTAATTCTGCTCATGTTTCTTCAATTGTCTTGATGCATAAGCTATCACTTTTCCATTCTGCATCAGTACACATCCCAATCCCTGCTTGGATGCATCACTATATATAACAAACCCTTCCGTACCCTCAGGTATTGTTAACACGGGTGCTGATATCAACCTCTGTTTAAGTTCTTGGAAACTTTGTTCACATTTATCCGTCCATTGAAATTTTACTCCCTTCCTCGTAAGCTGCGTCATTGGTCCAGTTATTTTGGAGAATCCTTCTATGAATCTCCGATAATATCCTCCTAATCCTAGAAAGCTCCATACCTCGCCAACATTAGTTGGTGCTTTCCAGTTGGTTATTGCTTCCACTTTCGCTGGATCTACCTCAATCCCTAGGGCAGTGACTATATGTCTAAGAAATCTAACTCGTTCAAGCCAGAACTCACACTTCTTGAATTTGGCATACAGCTTCTCCTTGCATAATACCTCTAATGCTATTCTTAGGTACTCTTCATGTTGCTTCTTACTCTTGGAATATATCAGAATGTCATCAATGAAGCCTATGACAAATTTATCCAAGCACTAATGAAATACACGATTCATCAGGTCCATGAACACTGTAGGTGCATTGGTTAGCCCAAACGGCGTCATTGTAAACTCGTAGTGTCCAGAACGAGTTCTGAAAGCTATCTTGGGTATATCCTTTGACTTTACTTTCAATTGATGGTATCCCGATTGTAAGTCGATCTTGGAAACCATATCTAGGAGTTCTTGCAACTACTTCTTTAACTCTTGTAGTTCCTTTAGGGCCATTCGGTATGGGGCTTTTGACACTAGTGCCGCTCCAAGAATTAGGTCTATGGTGAATTTCACTTGCCTATTTGGTGGAATACCAGATAGATCTTCTGGAAACACATCTATGAATTCCCATACTATTGGTACGTCTTCAACCTTTATCGTCTCATGTTTCCTTCTTGAGATGTTTACCAAATATCCTTGACATGTTTCTTTTCTCAACTTCTTCTCAGCTTGTAAAGCCGATACTAGTCGAATAAGGGGTTTCGTCTTCATTCCAAGGAACGAAAATGGTTCATTTCCTGGTTTCTAAAATGATACCTCCCTTTCCTTACATCGGTTGGTGGCGTAATTACAACCCAACCAATCCATGCCTAGTATTACATCAAAATCCTTCATTTCTATCATGTATAGGTTCACTTCCATTGGTTTTCCCTCAACTTCAATACTTACTGATTTGGCTATTCTATTAATACTCAAAGGGTTGCCTGAAGGAATGCTAACCTCTAATGTACCTTTTGACTTGTCACAGGTAATACTAGATTTAGCCATAAAAGTTGTCGATACAAAGGAGTGTGTGGCTTCTGAATCAAACAATACATAAGCAGGCGTATTGGCTATCAATAAAGTACCAGCTATGACATTCTAGTTTTCATCTGCATCTTTCTGAGTCATTGCAAAAACTTGTGCTTTCCCTTTATGGTTCTGGTCATTGTTGTCATCCTTCTTCGGGGTAAATGTGGGGCAATCCTTAAAAATATGCCCTACCTTGCCACATCTAAAATAGACATTCTTCCCTTGCAAACACACACCACGATGCGTCTTTCCACACTTAGGACATGGCTCTATAACGGGCACAATTCTCTTGTTGGCATTGGCTTCGCCATTAGCTTTCTTGTTCTACCACTTGCCCTTTCCCTTGTCCTGGCCATTCCATTCCTTTTACCCATACTGCCATTGTTCGGTTGATTGAACAGTTGACTATATTTCTTGGTGCTAGTCTTCTGGTACCAGATAGCATGAGCTCTTTCCAGCATTTCACGGTATGAGGTGAAACGATGGGACATAAGTATCATGCTTATATCTGGGTTCAACCCTTGTTCAAACAAACTGACTTTCTTGTCCGCCGTATCCACCAGATGTGGAGCATACCTTGAAAGTTGATCAAACTTTCTTTCATACTCAATCAGGGACATAGTCCTTTGTTTGAGTTGGAGAAATTCACTTTCTTTGTGATCCCTCAAAGACTGTGGGAAGTACTTGTCCATTACTTCCTCTTTAAATCGCTCCCAAGTCAATTCCGCTTATTACTCTGGGGTCCTCTTCCTTGATATCGAGTCCCACCAGTGGCAAAGTGTCAAACAACGTGGCACTTGACACTTGACAGCAATGCAAGTGTCAAACAACATGGCAAAAATTAGTGTACAACTAGCGAAGTTCAATCGGTAAGAACCTTGTTACATGCAGACTATGGTGTACATGATTTATTTTATACTTTTCCACGTGACATTACCCTGTTGGACAGTTTAAATTTCAAACAGTTTTCCTATCCAATTGAAACTTGAAAATAATGCAAGTGTCAAACAACATGTCAAAAACCAATTTACAAACAGCAAGGTTCAATCGGCAAGGACCATACAACATGTACACTTTTGTTTACACTTTGCCACATGACATTACCCTGTTGGGAAGTTTAAATTTCAACCATTTTTCCCATCCAATTGACACTTGACAACAACACAAGTTTCAAACAACATGTCAAAAATTAGTGTACAAATAGAAAATTTCAATCGATAAGAACCATGTTACATGTACACTATGGTGTACCCACTTTACTTTACACGTTGCCACGTGACATTACCCTGTTAGACAGTTTATGTTTCAAACAATTTTCCTATTCAATTGAAACTTGACAACAATACAAATGCCAATGCAAGTGCCAAACAACGTATCAAAAATCAATGTACAAGTAAAAAGGTTCAATCGGTAAGGACCACACTACATGTACACTATGGTGTAGACTTTAGATTACACTTTGCCACGTGACATTACCTCGTTCAACAGTTTAAATTTCAAACAATTTCCCCATCCAATTGACACTTGACAATAGTGCAAGTGTCAAACAACGTACCAAAAATTAGGGTACAAATAGCAAAGTTCAATCGGTAAGAACCTTAAGACATGTACACTATGGTGTAGACTTTAGATTACACTTTGCCACGTGACATTACCTCGTTCAACAGTTTAAATTTCAAACAATTTCCCCATCCAATTGACACTTGACAATAGTGCAAGTGTCAAACAACGTACCAAAAATTAGGGTACAAATAGCAAAGTTCAATCGGTAAGAACCTTAAGACATGTACACTATGGTGTAGACTTTAGATTACACTTTGCCACGTGACATTACCTCGTTCAACAGTTTAAATTTCAAACAATTTCCCCATCCAATTGACACTTGACAATAGTGCAAGTGTCAAACAACGTACCAAAAATTAGGGTACAAATAGCAAAGTTCAATCGGTAAGAACCTTAAGACATGTACACTATGGTGTAGACTTTAGATTACACTTTGCCACGTGACATTACCTCGTTCAACAGTTTAAATTTCAAACAATTTCCCCATCCAATTGACACTTGACAATAGTGCAAGTGTCAAACAACGTACCAAAAATTAGGGTACAAATAGCAAAGTTCAATCGGTAAGAACCTTAAGACATGTACACTATGGTGTAGACTTTAGATTACACTTTGCCACGTGACATTACCTCGTTCAACAGTTTAAATTTCAAACAATTTCCCCATCCAATTGACACTTGACAATAGTGCAAGTGTCAAACAACGTACCAAAAATTAGGGTACAAATAGCAAAGTTCAATCGGTAAGAACCTTAAGACATGTACACTATGGTGTAGACTTTAGATTACACTTTGCCACGTGACATTACCTCGTTCAACAGTTTAAATTTCAAACAATTTCCCCATCCAATTGACACTTGACAATAGTGCAAGTGTCAAACAACGTACCAAAAATTAGGGTACAAATAGCAAAGTTCAATCGGTAAGAACCTTAAGACATGTACACTATGGTGTAGACTTTAGATTACACTTTGCCACGTGACATTACCTCGTTCAACAGTTTAAATTTCAAACAATTTCCCCATCCAATTGACACTTGACAATAGTGCAAGTGTCAAACAACGTACCAAAAATTAGGGTACAAATAGCAAAGTTCAATCGGTAAGAACCTTGCTACATGTACACTTTGATGTACACTTTAGTTTACACTTTGCCACATGATAATACCCTATTTGACAATTTAAATTTTAATCGATTTTCCCATCCAATTGACACTTGACAACAATGCAAGTGTCAAACAACGTACCAAAAATTAGGGTACAAATAGCAAAGTTCAATCGGTAAAAATCACGCTACATGTACACTATGGTGTATACTTTGCCACGTGACATTACTCCATTTGACAGTTTAAATTTCAAACAATTTTCCCATCCAATTGACACTTGACAACAGTGCAAGTCTCAAACAAAGTGTTAGAAATCAGTGTAGAAATAACAAAGTTCGATCGGTAAGAACCTTGCTATATGTACACTATGGTGTACACTTTAGTTTACACTTTGCCACGAGATAATATCCTGTTGGAAAATTTAAATTTCAAACAATTTTCCCATTCAATTGACACTTGGCAACAATGTAAGTGTTAAGCAACGTGTTAAAAATCAGTGTACAAATAACAAAGTTCAATCGGTAAGAACCTTTCTACACGTACACTATGGTGCACACTTTAGTTTGCACTTTGCCACGTGACATTGCCCTATTTGAGAGTTCAAATTTCAAATAGTTTTCGTATCCAATTGACACTTGACAACAATGTAAGTATTAAACAACGTGCCAAAAATTAGTGTAAAATAGCAAAGTTCAATCGGTAAGAACCTTGCGACATGTACACTATTGTGTACACTTTAGTTTACACTTTGCCACGTGACATTACCGTATTGGACAGTTTAAATTTCAAATAATTTTCCCATCCAATTGACACTTGACAACAATGCAAGTGTCGTATTAAACAACGTGCCAAAAATTAGTGTACAATAGCAAAGTTCAATCGGTAAGAACCTCGCAACATGTACACTGTGGTATACACTTTAGTTTACACTTTGCCACGTGACATTACCGTATTGGACAGTTTAAATTTCAAATAATTTTCCCATCCAATTGACACTTGACAACAATGCAAGTGTCGTATTAAACAACGTGCCAAAAATTAGTGTACAATAGCAAAGTTCAATCGGTAAGAACCTCGCAACATGTACACTGTGGTATACACTTTAGTTTACACTTTGCCACGTGACAACACCCTGTTGGAAAATTTAAATTTCAAACAATTTTCCCATCCAATTGACACTTGGCAACAATGCAAGTGTCAAACAATATGTCAAAAATCAGTGTACATATAATAAATTTCAATCGATAAGAACCTTGCAACAGTGCAAGTGTCAAACAACGTGCTAGAAATTAGTGTACAAATAAGAAAGTTCAATCGGTAAGAACCTTGCAACATGTACACTGTGGTATACACTTTAGTTTACACTTTGCCACATGACGTTACCCCGTTGGACAGTTTAAATTTCAAACAGTTTTTCCATCCAATAGAAACTTGACAACAGTGCAAGTGTTAAATAACGTGTCAAAAAATTGTGTACAAATAACAAAGTTCAATCCGTAAGAAATGCAAGTGTCAAACAACGTGTCAAAAATTAGCGTACAAAT